TAAACAAAAACTATGCCGTGACTATATCTGCTCCATAATTGTAAGAAAGCCTACTCAATTACGAATATCCATAATTGTAGCAATTATTTCACTTTACAGAAGGGCTTGCCTTCCAATATAAGGCTCACAACAAATAAAAGTAGTGAATATCAGGTTAGGATAAATGCATGTTAGAGGGTCGAAAATGCAACCTTTATGTTTGCCACAGTCTCCTTTTGGTCAAATAGAATTGGTCTGACCCTGTCTTCGAAACTTGGTCGTGCTGCCAGAGCGACTTCGCAGAACGTAATGATACTGCGTTCTCTGCCACGCTAATCATGCTTATTTTGAGCATCTAAAATTTGCTTTTGTTGATTACTAGACGTTGCGTTGGCAACGCAGTCTCTTGACCAAATTTTAACTAAACAGTTTTTATATCGCCTAACCAAGGCAGTTATATCCTCATCAAAGGAGGGAGGAGGCAAAGTGCCGAGGCCTCCATCGAAGCTTGGCTATTCTATGCTATTATCAAAGGAAAGATTAAAGATTGAATTAAAGGTAGCCAAAAATGGGTCGGATGACTTACGCAAAGGGTGAAAAGTCAAGCCTGCCGCAGCACTTGCTTTGTGGATAGAGGGAACTCAAGCATCATGCCCTCTTGGAATTCAGATGAAATCAAACCTGGTGTTCGAGTGCTATAAGATTGCGATTAAATGACTACTATCCGCTCACTATCTGATTAGAAACCACAACTTGGAATCTAATTCAATTTAGTGTTTGTTTGACTTGATTTTCGCAAAATGGTCGGGGCGGCAGGGAGACCTTGCGTAACCTACCAGGTTAAAGCGTCCTCTGCATAAGTATTCGTGATAATTTCCAGCATTAGACTGCTGAATTAATAGATTATAAGACATTTCGTTGGCATCATCCGTGAACGGCTCCATCATTAGCACACATTTAAAAGTGATCAAAGTGACAAGTAATGACAATCCCCCATGCAAATTTTCCATTAGACCTTTTGACTTTAAGTTGGTGTATAGCGCAATGGCGTCCCTTACTTATAAAGAGTGATCAAAGCGGATAGCAAGCAATGAGACTCACTTCTTGATAGGTACGGGTTGCATGCCTCAAAGTGTAAATTGCCTAAAGTAACAGATTTAGATCTTCTTTCTGTACCAAAAAGAGTTGTATGCAAACCCAGTAAATAACTTTTGTATCCTAACTTTTTCTTAGGCCGAGTTTATTGAATTAACTTGAGATAGCTCTTATTTTGCGTGAAGCTGGGCCAAGACTGACATAAATGTCTGAATAAGAATTTAGTCACCACAAATGCCCTTTAGGCGATTGCAAGAGTGATTGTGGAATTGGAAGTGGTCACCGCCTCCTCAGTGGTCAATCTTGTCGGGAAGTTTTTTATCGCAATATGACTTAAAAACCAAGCTCGAAGATAAACAAATGTGGTATTTATCTCAGAATCCAACATAAGTCACACGGGTAGGCAGGCTGAAACTTTCATTCTTGAATTAAAATATATTTACACAAGATAGCAAGATTCTTATTTTGACGCCCAACAAGGGTTGCACAATATTCATGCTCTGTGAATGGAAAGACTAACTTTCGAGGAAGTTTTTAAAGTTTATTTTCACCAGGCGAAACCGTAGTAGTAAACGAATGATTTAATACGATTAAGATATATAATTTCAACTAAGACCACAAGAACATAATTCATCTTAGTTCCGGACCCACGTTGCTTACAAATTCTGCTAGCGAAAACAAAATATGGTCTTTTATCTGACACAATGATTAGCTAAATGAAACCCAAAACGGCCTTGTCTCAGGCTATCGGAACTCAGATTAACGAATTATTTCCTATGCATCTATTTGCGCAAGGTTAAACTGATTTTTATAAGGCCAAATTTCTTTTCTGCGAACATAACTTGTGTAAGAAGAAACCCGTTTTCTGCAACTATAGTAAAAATAAATAAATAAATAAGTTACTTGTTAAAGTAGCCCTTTCCATCCATTCAGCATCAGATGATTATTTTCTATTTTTATGTACCGGCAACCTAAAATATCAGAGAACTAGCAAGGAGCCAAGGTGCTTTGTCAGAAAGAGAGCATGTGGTATTTTGACATTTTGTTTAGTACGATGTCTGCAGCCCTTTAATACATAAGCGATCTTAAATTGCACATTGCAAATATGGAAAAAAATCTTTCGTAGAGGAAGCCCGTTCGATGGCTCCAGTGTCTCTATGGCAATCCAGTACAAATTCGATGGCCTCATTGATGCTTTCCCAAAAAACGTAAGTGAAGCCAGCATCTCTTACTTTCGGTAGTCCGGCTACTTTGGACCGAATGAGCCGAACAGACTGTTCACTGACTGCAGATGATTGTGGCTGAACCTGAGAGAAGACCAATCCCATCGACATGCCTCAAATCTATGGTCAGCCCAACAACCGCCTCATTCGGAGATGCCCTATTTCCCATAACTCGACTGTATCAGGCGTTAAAGCGACTTTACCAGATAGTTCTGGGCAAAAGCCAGACCTGCTGCCCAGCTCGGGTGCAGCGGTCATAAAGGAGCGGAGAGCAAACTGTACCACATGACGCAGCAAAAGGTCTTTACGACAAGTGAGAGGGAGAAGGGCAGAGAGCGAGCGCAATTGGAAGAAGAGAAGTCGCCCATTGCAACCCCATCAGCGCTCAGACGACCACAACTTACGGGATGACGGAGCAGCAAGTGAGCATACAATTCTGTCAGCTCGTCGCTTCGCCAAAGCGTAGCTATCTTGTAGGAAAATAGTTACTAAAAGACAGTCACGAGAAATAAGTGAACCAAACAAAGTCATGTGCAAACATAGTGTTTTTTCCTCAAGGACTAGTTTTGTTCAAACTCATAATTTGGCATTAGCAAATCATTAGTTCTCTGACCTCACATCGTTTTATAGGCCGTTCTTGGAACTCGTGACCGTTGGTTTGCAAGTCTGGCAAAAGTGTATCAGACGTTAACAGGGAGATGATCCGGGACTACTAAGAAAGGATACTAACAATACTAATCGAGATTATTATTAGCACAACAATATTTTTTAATTTAATTTATTAATGCGAAGAAAAGTTGGATTTCAAGAAATCTATTGTTTCATAATTATTGTGCATAATCCCATTTTGAGTGAAAATGTTTGGTGAACAGATTCGAAGATCGATTCCACCAGAAGATGACGGCGGATTCCTCTTGACCAGCTGTCGACTGGCCTTACTGGAACATTCAAGCTTATGCTGTTTTCGAGGTAATCTCCTTCGATTCCGGTAGCAAAGTGCTAAGTTTTCGTCCGTCACATGACGAACATCATCAGAGCAAGGTATCTTCGTCACAACAAAATTCAAGCTAACGAGTCAAGAAAACTCACCGGCAAACCTCTAAAAAGCGGTATATATACTCTACATCTGGCCTCTTTGATGAAGTATAAAGGGATTTGCAGTCTCCTTTCGTTG